TGGTTAAAATGTGGTGTCAGTATGTGCGCTAATGCGGCTTTCCTGTCTAAGTAGACGAATTCTGTCTCAAAGGTATTGTCTGATTCAATTCTATCCCACAGTAATTCACAGCATAAATCATGTCGTTCTTTTCTGTCACGATGGGTGAGAGTAAAGGGTAAAGCTCCAAATTAGCCTGGTCATAGTCCCCGCGATCGTGGCTTGAGCAGAGTCTGGACGGCGTATAAAGCCGGGAATAGAACAGATGGAGTGGAAAAGAGTAATAGAGAAAGGAAAAAGCAGATGGGGAGTTCTTATACGATTCGACAAACAGGTCATGCCCACTTCGAAGCTCGTATGTTTAGACAAATGAATGAATAGGAATATGAAGAATGACAAGTTGAAACTGATTTTTGATAACCCACAGAGAGTAAAACAAAGATAAAAGTCAGCAACTTGGGAGGAGCTTTTTGTGCTAAAGCGTGTGCTTAGGTGTGTATGCGTGTGTGTGTGTGTGTGTATTGGTGAATGTATAGGGGCAGGGACATACTCTGTATAGCCAAGCTACACCAAACCAAAAAACCAACCACGTACAGGAAAATGCGACAAAGTTAACGTCTACATGATGCTGGTGGCGCGATTTGTGCGGGTTGAGTAGGTGGTCACCTCACGGACAACAGAGCCCCCTCGAGCTCCGGGACCGCCCGTCCTTCGCAGAGTCATCGTGCGTTCCGCCATGTCAGCTCGGTGCTCGGCTTCCTCGATCTGTTGCTGAGCCTTCCGGTATTTGTTCATTGTGATTTGTGAAACCTCCTCCTGAATATGAAAAGAAAAAATATGATCAGTCTGTCTTGTGACCTGCCACCATCATACATTTGTTGCAGTTTATGGATAACTTAAATAGAGCTTTAGCTTTACTACTTATTATCCTTGTAATAAGTAGTATTTATTTATCACCAGAAGACGACGATTGATTCTTTGTGTTCTGCATTTTTGTGATTTTACTACGACGTTCAAGTTTACAAAATCCACGAGACGTCCTCCTTTGGTTAGATTGGCAACTGGCCTGATTTTCATCCAAGAAATCTAATCACTTTAGGTTGTATAGCGTGACGAAGAATCTATAGTTAAATTTGCTCACTATGATATGAATTTCACTTCACTTTGTTTTCAAAAAATGGATTATGATCCAGAGTAGACTGCAGTTTCAACCTACGACAAGACTTGAATCCGTGTAGTTCGGTGTATAAACTGTGTTGGTTATATTCATGTAAAATAGGTGAATTCTGAATGAAAATCCAGTCACTTTAGGTCGCATGTGATGAAGGACTGATATTTGTATTTTCTCGGATTCGAGTCCCTTGGGAGAGCTGATGAGACCTAGGCGAGGTCAAAACCGCAGTCCACTCCGACCTGGATAAGAATACATTTTGGGAAGCAGTCCTATTTGAAATGCAACGTAAACGTGAGGCATATTCATTTAATTTCGGGAAATTTTATCACTTCATATGACCTAGGGTGACTGTAACTCTAATTCAAGAGTTCCTGATAGTTTATACATCTACTTAAAGCTTTCGTCATTCCCGCCATTAAGCGGGTATTTT